TTTTTTTTTTTTTTTTTTTTTTTTTTTTTTTTTTTTTTTTTTTTTTTTTTTTTTTTTTTTTTTTTTTTTTTTTGTTCTTGCAATTGAGAATCGATTGTGTGAACTGGTTCTGGATTTACTTTTGCTGGACATTACTAGTGATTTGATTCTGTCTTTGTCGTTTTTGTGTAATTTAGAGTTGATTGTGTGAATTCGTTATGGATTCATTGTTGCAGAACAGTATTGATGATTTGATGCTGTTGCATCGCGACTAATGAAATCGGCTACATTTGACGCCTTTGTGTGATTTCAAATTCATTTTGAATTTGTTCTGTATTCAATGTTGCAGAGTAATACCAGCGATTATGATTCTCTTGCACCACGAGACGAGGTTGAATCGGCTCTGTGGCGAACCAGACGGTGATAATCGCCGTCGTAAACAAGGCGTACGCCGATCAAGAAACCACAGCCGTTACTACTATGCTGGACGTGTTTCTCGACAGTCTCTGGCTCGGAGAAGGCACTCGGCCTTCGGTAAATCACCTCATCCTCGTTGCCGTCGATCAGACGGCGTACGATCGGTGCCGGTTCCTTCATCTGAACTGCTTCCGGTCGATTTCGCGGAGGATTTCATCAAGATGACTCAGTTTCTCTTGGTTGAAAGTCCTCAAACGGGGATACAACTTCATCCTCGCGGTACGTTCTCTTTTGTCGAGTATAATTTTATGCCTTTTTTTAAAATAATAGAGACTTAAGTTATATAATAATTTTAACCTCTTTAATATTAGAGGATGAACTTTTTGTTTGATGGTTTTTGGTAGGTTTTAGTGCCTCGACTCTACACCTTCTAATCTTACAACAAAACAAATCATATTCATTTAAGACAACAACCTTCCTAAAATCAGCGATTATCGAAGAAACACGTTCACAAATAATGGAGAGAACCAACAAAATATCCATAAAATCCGGGACAGATACATTTCCTAAAACACATAAAATAAAAAGAAGATATTTCTTCTGCCTTCTCTCTTCTTCCTCACCGATAAAAAACGATACAACAGATTCAGCTAAAAAAACAAAAACAAAAGATATTTTTTCACACAGCCAAATCTAACCTTCCTTATTCAACCCGTACACAACGCGTCTTTCTTTCTTCAACACAGACCCTTACCCCTACAGACCACTAACCCAACGACTTCAAAAAAACCCTACTGTAAAACCAGAATGTTCCTCTCAGTACCTGTAGTGAGCAGGCTTGTATGGACCCTCAACTGGCACATTGATGTAGTCAGCTTGGTCCTTGCTGAGCTTGGTAAGCCTAGCACCTAGTTTGCCCAGGTGAAGGGCAGCCACCTTCTCATCAAGGTGCTTGGGCAACACGTAAACCTTCTTCTCATACTTCCCAGATGTCCTCTCGTTCCAGAGCTCGAGCTGTGCAATCACTTGGTTTGTGAATGAGCAGGACATAACAAAGCTAGGGTGTCCAGTGGCACAACCCAAGTTCATGAGTCTACCCTCAGCCAACACGATGATGCCGGCGTTGGTCTCGGGGAAGACCCACCTGTCTGTTTGAGGCTTGATGGTGATACGCTTTACACCAGGGTAGCTCTCAAGACCGAGCATGTCAATCTCATTGTCAAAGTGACCAATGTTGCAGACAATGGCATTGTTCTTCATCTTCCTCATGTGGTCAACCATGATGATATCCTTGTTACCGGTGGTGGTGACGAAGATATCTGCCTCAGAGACAACATCTTCTAAGGTGAGGACGGGAAGACCTTCCATGAGAGCCTGGAGGGCACAAATTGGATCAATCTCGGTCACGATAACACGAGCGCCAGCTTGCTTGAGAGCAGAAGCACAGCCCTTTCCAACATCTCCATAACCGCACACAACAGCAACCTTACCGGCAATCATGACATCAGTAGCTCTCATCAAACCATCAGGGAGAGAGTGTCGGCATCCATACAAGTTGTCGAACTGTAAACAATCAGAAGTGAACCCACTCGGAACCAGATTGGTGTTTGAAGCTCAAAATTGACAATAAAACGTTACAACGGTTCGATTGGCAGATGAAAGATAATTATCACTCAACAGCGGGAAACAGGGTAACTGAAATTGAATTCCATTAACAGCTTGTTTTAAAGTCATGCATGATTCAGAAGCAAGTACATGCATGGATATGGATGATTCAAACACAACAAAATACAAGCATGGATGAGCTTGGGACCCAGATCTGACGGGATTTGAACACAAAAATCAGATCTACAGCAACAGAGAAATGAAAAAACAGAAAAGAAGTTCAGATCTAAAAGAAAAGCACAAGAAATCATACCTTGCTCTTAGTGACAGAGTCATTGACATTAATGGCAGGGAACAACAAGGTTCCACTGGCCTGCATCTGGTAAAGCCTCTTAACACCGGTGGTAGTCTCTTCCGAGACACCAACCAATCTCTCCTTCATCTTGTGATACCTCTTAGGGTCAGATTTCAATCCATCTCTAATAATCGTCAACACGATCTGAAACTCAGCGTTATCAGTAGAAGAAGGATCAGGAAGAACGCCGCTCTTCTCATAAATCTCCTCAGCCTTAACTCCCTCGTGAATCAAGAGAGTAGCATCACCACCATCGTCAACAATCAGATCCGGACCACCACCAGGGCCCCAGTCCAAGGCGCGCTCGGTACACCACCAGTACTCCTGAAGTGTCTCCCCCTTCCAGGCGAACACGGCGGCGCTGTCGCGAGCAATCGCGGCAGCGGCATGGTCCTGAGTGGAGAAAATGTTGCAGGAGCACCAACGAACCTCAGCACCGAGAGCGGTGAGGGTTTCGATGAGCACCGCGGTTTGGATGGTCATGTGGAGGGAGCCGGTGATGCGAGCTCCCTTGAATGGCTGCGAAGGGCCGAATTCGGTACGGCAAGCCATGAGGCCAGGCATTTCGACCTCGGCGAGCTCGATCTCGAGGCGGCCGAAGTCGGCCTGAGACATGTCCTTGACCTTGTACTCACGGCCGCCGGCGGTCTTCTCGACAATTAGAGACATTGCGAGAGAATTGGGGAAGAAAGAACACAAAAATCTCTTGTTTCTGCGATGAAGAAGAAGATCGCAGAAGAGAGAGATGTGAGCGCACAAAGGATAGAGCAAACTGAGGCCCTATAAATAGATAAATCGACGGTCCACATTCGGGGCTTCCAACTCCCACCTTAGGGCTTTGAGATTGTGATTTTATCGGGTCTTCATTTTCTAGACCGGTTTCGGGTCGGTTTTTTAATGGATAATCTAAAATCTTATCGGTTAATATTTTTAGTATTTTAGTCTTTAATACATTTAATTGTTTCAAATTTTTTTAATAACTCAATTTCTTTTTTTTTTTTCTTTAGCTTCTTAAATATACTTTTAATCTCTTCTTTAATTCTTCCATTTCTACATATTTCTAATCTTTTATCTCTTCTTAAATATTAAAACTCTAAATATAAATGATTAATTCTCTCATTTATAACTATTTCCAAATATAAATATAATAAATTCTAACACTCGTATTTTTTTTTCTAAGTTGGTTCTTTCCTATTTCAAATAACTTTTTAAGAATTTGGCTATTTGGGATACTTTATTTTTTTTATGATTTTGTTTGAAATTGTCATTTTTATTTGCAATTACATTTAAAAATAAGAAAAGTTTGAAGTTGAAGCAAAGGAGAGCAATGATACTAAAGGAAAAAATAATATATGTAGGGTAGGTAAACAATCTCACATTTTCCATTCATTATAAACAATTTCCTAAGAATATTTTTATGTTTATATCTAAGAGTATTTTTCTACCTTTAGAAAAGTGCCAACGTAATTTTAAATAATAAAAAGTTTTAATATATTAATAAATATTTGTAAATTTAAGGACGCTTTTTAAGATCCAACCCTATTATTAAAACATTTTTTTTAAGTACCTTCCACTATTTTAATTTTCAAACTTCAGTTTGAAAATAGAATGTAAAGTAGTTTAACTAAAAATTCTATTATAAGAAATATTAAGTGAAAATTTGTAAAAGAATTATTCCAAATTTGAGATCTAAAATTTATTTATGATTAAGTTCTAAAAACAAAAAACCAAAAAAATTGTCAAAAATCCGCTAACCAATTTTTTCCCCAAGGAAATCTTAACAATAAAAATTTGGACCGCCAAAATATTGCAGCAGATTATTATACAACAAATCATATTTATTTAAGACAATAATCTGTCTTTTTTATAAAAAAAAAAAAAGAAAGGAAAGAAAAACGTGCACAAATAAAATATCAAGAAAATCCAAGACAGCTACATTTCTAAAACAACAAAAAAAAATAAAGGCAGCAATTTCTTCTTCTCTTTTCTCTGTTCTTTCTCACCGATAATCACGATGCCACAAATTCAACAAAAAAAAAAAATTAAAACAAAAACAAGTAATATTTTTCACACAGCCAAATCTATCCTTATTCAGCCCCATACAATGGGTCTCTCTTCAACACACAGACCCTTTCCCCTTCACACCACTAACCCCAAACACTTCCATAAACCCCTACTTGTAAAGCCAGAATTCTGCTCTCAGTACCTGTAGTGAGCAGGCTTATATGGACCCTCAACTGGCACGTTGATGTAGTCAGCTTGGTCCTTGCTGAGCTTGGTGAGCCTAGCACCTAGTTTACCCAGGTGAAGTGCGGCCACCTTCTCGTCGAGGTGCTTCGGCAACACGTAAACCTTCTTCTCATACTTCCCGGATGTTCTCTCGTTCCAGAGCTCGAGCTGTGCAATCACTTGGTTTGTGAATGAGCAGGACATGACAAAGCTGGGGTGTCCAGTGGCACAACCCAAGTTCATGAGTCTACCCTCGGCCAACACAATGATGCCGGAGTTGGTTTCGGGGAAGACCCACCTGTCGGTTTGAGGCTTGATGGTGATACGCTTCACACCAGGGTAGCTCTCAAGACCGAGCATGTCGATCTCATTGTCAAAGTGACCAATGTTGCAGACGATGGCATTGTTCTTCATTTTCCTCATGTGGTCGACCATGATGATATCCTTGTTACCGGTGGTGGTGACGAAGATATCAGCCTCGGAGAGGACATCTTCCAATGTGAGGACGGGAAGTCCTTCCATAAGAGCCTGGAGGGCACAAATTGGATCGATCTCGGTCACGATCACACGAGCTCCAGCTTGCTTGAGAGCAGAAGCACAACCCTTTCCAACATCTCCATAACCGCACACAACAGCAACCTTACCGGCAATCATGACATCGGTAGCTCTCATCAAACCATCAGGGAGAGAGTGTCGGCATCCATATAAGTTATCGAACTGTAAACAATCAGAAGTAAATCTAATCAGAACTATTGGTGTTTAAAGCAAAAAGATAACAATAAATCATCACTAGGACAAGATCGATTGATGAGAGATCTACAGTTATCAGTCACTAGCGAAAAACAGGGTAACTGAATTTGAAAGTGTACAGAAAGAACAAAGAACAATGGTTCAACAAGAAATGAGTCCAATAGCATGGATGAGTCCAAAGATTTTGCTCAGAGTTACAGTTCAAACACTACACATACAAGCATGGATGAGCCATTGGTTATAAGATCTGACGGGATTCGAACAGAAAAATTATCACAGAGATCAGATCTACAGCAACAGAGAAATGAAAAACAGAACAGAAACTCAGATCTAAATAAAATGCACAAGAAATCATACCTTGCTCTTAGTGACAGAGTCATTGACATTAATGGCAGGGAACAACAAGGTTCCACTGGCCTGCATCTGGTAAAGCCTCTTAACACCAGTGGTAGTCTCTTCCGAAACACCAACCAATCTCTCCTTCATTTTGTGATACCTCTTAGGGTCAGATTTCAATCCATCTCTGATAATCGTCAACACGATCTGAAACTCAGCGTTATCAGTAGAAGAAGGATCAGGAAGAGCGCCGCTCTTCTCATAAATCTCCTCAGCCTTAACTCCCTCATGAATCAAGAGAGTCGCATCACCGCCATCGTCAACAATCAGATCCGGACCACCACCGGGACCCCAATCCAAGGCACGCTCGGTACACCACCAGTACTCCTGAAGAGTCTCCCCCTTCCAGGCGAACACAGCGGCGCTGTCGCGAGCAATCGCGGCAGCGGCGTGGTCCTGAGTGGAGAAAATGTTGCAGGAGCACCAACGAACCTCAGCACCGAGAGCGGTGAGGGTTTCGATGAGAACCGCGGTCTGGATGGTCATGTGGAGGGAGCCGGTAATGCGAGCTCCCTTGAATGGCTGGGAGGGGCCGAATTCGGTACGGCAAGCCATGAGACCGGGCATTTCGACCTCGGCGAGCTCGATCTCGAGGCGACCGAAGTCGGCCTGAGACATTTCCTTGACCTTGTACTCACGGCCGCCAGCGGTCTTCTCGACAATGAGAGACATGGTGAGAGATTGGGGGAAGAAAGAACACAAAAATCTCGTTTCTGCGATAACGAAGAAGATCGCAGAAGAGAGAAATGTGAGCGCACACAAAATTGAGCAATCGGAGGCCCTATAAATAGGTTCGAAGTCAGATCGACGGTCCAGATTTGGGGCTTCCAACCCCCAGATTAGGGGCTTGAGATTGTGATTTTATCGGGTCTGGATTTTCAAAACCGGTTTCGGATCCGGGTTTCAACTGTTTTTATTTTCTTTTAAGCTAAACTAATAAAAATACATATACGTATTTTTGGAAATTTTGTTAATAATCTTAAATTTTAAAAAGATCTAAAAAAATAGAAATTTTTTATTTTTCTTTAAAAAAAAATTAAAGGTATGTCTAAATTTTTTTAATAAGAATGTTAATAAATAAATTTTAAGAATATTTTATAAAGGAAAATTTTTTAAATATTGTTTTAATATATTTTTTAAACGGTTTCATTTAAAAGTAAAGGTAAGGCTATTTTTTAATTTTTTTTAAATATATTTGTTTTTTTTTTTTTAAATGTAAGGATATGGTTGATAGTTTTAAAAGTTTAGAAATATTTTTTAAGATAAAAGATAAAATTCATAGCATTAGACATCAAAAGTAATCATGTTGTTCTTTGTCTCGTTAATTGGGTGACGTCATCGAACAAATTTACCAACCAGGAGGTGTCATATGCGATTGAGTAGTAATCAATGTGATTTAAAAAAATAATAATAATATATTTTATCTTACTATTTAATTTAAAATATCTGGTTTTAAAAAAAAAATTATATGAAAAAGAACAGTAAATTTTCTCCGTTATTGGTACAAATTTTCCATTTACCCTTTTTTTTTTTTTTTGCGTGTTGGAAAATAAAGGCCGTGGGCCCATGCGATTACAATAAATGAACGGTTGAGATGTGCCGCGTAATTTTACCTTTTCCCCAAATGATCTTTTGGGCTTTTGTCGGAGATCTGAGATGTGATAAAGAGTTAGACTCGCCTGTATCCGAGACTACATAGCTAAAATAGTCTCGACTTTAAATTAGCGACGTGGCTTAAAATCACTCTTAGCCTCGCAATTCAAACGTTCTGATTTAACAACTTTAATTTAATAAAATACAATTATTTTTGCAAATTCATTATTTTTTTTTTTGTAAATCCACAATAACAATTATTAAAGTAATTAATTATGATTTATTGATATTAAATTTTATGATAAATGAATTTAAGTAGTTGAATAATAATAAAGTGTCTCACAGTTTTCAAACATGTCTGCTAAAGAGAAAATTCCACACCCTTATATTTTGTCCTCCTCTTCAACCGAGGCAAAATCTCGCGAGCTTCTAGAAATAAATATGCATTTAAAGTTTTTTCAAAACTATATTATCATCAAGGTCACGCTCATTTGAATGTAGTATCGATTTATTCACGTACTGTATTTCACTCGAGCATTACATATCCACCAACTTTACCTATCATTCGTCGAGGTAGGTTTCGACTCCGCTTGTTTTGTTTTGCCGGTGTTCGTGTCGTTAAATGTGAATATGCATGGAGCTATATACATCACCAATTATAAATATTTAAATTAATTTTGTAAATCAAAGATATTTTGCGCAATTCGTTGTTGTTTTTTTCCCCTAAAATTATTGAAAAGAATCCAACAAGGGAGAGAAGGAAAGAAAGCAAGATCCAGATCTGGTCTTGCTAGAATTTTGAA